GAGAGATTTTGATTCTGAGATGATGTGTCCCCTGAGCAGCTTACATCAGAGACTCTCAGCATGAGGGTATGGGTGGATGAAAGTGTGTTGATGGGATGGACAAGGTAGAAAGCCAGAGGTGGAAGTTTTGCAGCAAATTTTGAGTGTCCGAAGCCAACTGCACAAAAGACCACAAGCTCCTAGCCCAAAAGCTAACACTGAAACAATGACTAAGACTGATTTTAAAGTGACTTCATTTTACCCTCCCTCCTGCTGCCTTTCCCTACTCCAGTGATGCTGTCCTATGACTCTCCCTGCTCACTGTCTCATCAGTGCAGTTCCCGAGTGTATGCAGAAGCCGTAAGGGTACCTTCTTTCCTAGAAACCACCCCTCTTGTGTCAGCCTGAGAGAGAGTCTTTCCCACCAGCCAAAGGTCCAATGTGAAGATGGGTCTGGCTCTTACATGCTCTGATCTCATCCTTTCAAACCTATTCACCCATGTGCAGAAGGAACACAGGGCGGAGTGTGGATCAGATTTGAGATGAGGTTTGACATCATTTAGGACATGGAACTTATTCCCTTTAGACTTAGGATCCTGGCATATCATAGTTACAAGAGAGTTATAAAGTTCACCTAATGAATCTTCCTTATAGAGATGAGGAAATTCAAGGTGAGACAGTGTACTTAAGGTTGCTCTGACCACATCCAGACCTCCAGAGTCCCACTTTCCTATTTTAGTCACTGCAGAGTGTGGGATCAGGATTATGGTGGGATGCAGATTCTGCCTGCTTTCTCTCTTATTTTTTTGCGAGATCTTCCTGATTGTTCTAACTTGTGACTTAGCTTGCCCATCTGTTTAATAAACCATGGACTACTTTTCATTAGCTTCAAACTGGCACTCTCAACTTGAAGTTGACAGCATTCTACATGTTTAACCTCTGTGCCCTGATGTTCTGCTGTATATCATCCTTCCTGCAACTTACCTGGATTTCTTGTGGTTTGCAAACATTCATTGCTGTTCTGTTCCTCTGGACATTGTGTTACTTCATCTGGAATTCCCTTCCCAACACTTTTTTGGGGGCATTTTATTACTTCCCACTCATGTACTTCCATCCAAGCTTCATGCTCTCCTGCAGGACTGCTTTCACTGTTAGGACACATATTCATGGTCGTGTCTTATTTTCCTGCTTGAATGAAAGCTCCTTGAGAGCAGGAGACACGCAGCACAATTTGCTGAATGTGGTGAAAATAGTGTGTACCAAAAATATTTATTCTATGCAAATGAGACCTTGGTTGTTAAGTATTTCTGATGGCTATAGGATTTGGGGGTTGCTGAGGGATGTGAGGTTTGTGGAGGGGAAGAGTGGATATTCTAGAAGTCAAAGAAGCCGTGCCTTTCTGGGTATCATAGCAGTGCAGTATGGCATGGTGTTGGTGCATATAATGTCTATAGGCTCATAAATGATGGTGTATGACTCTGTTTGCACTTGTTTTATTCAATGCATTGTGGAAAAGGTTCTATGTAAGCCCCATGGGCAATACTCTGGTGCCCTTAGACTAGAGTAGCTATTTCATCCCTTCCCACATTTGTTCCTTGGGAGTCTCAGGGCTTGCCTGCTGTCTTCTTCTTGAGATATTCTGCTGACATCCATAACAACATGATTAGATTGATGTTCCAAGCTCTGATCTCAGTCACATTGGTGAAGAAATTGACAAGACATTTACTGTGCCCTGGGTAGTTTTTTATTGGTTGATCAGGCCAGATATACCATAAATAAATAAGTTCCTAGTTTATAATGTGAGCTCTTCTCTGTCTGATCCTGCCAGGAGAAGGAAACAAGCCAATGAAAATGCTATCATTTTCTAATTGTCTTGAAACTAAAACTTGACGCGTGCCCTTGGCAGGCACAGTGCTCCTTCCCCTTCACTTTTTGCCCTCAGTGTTGGGCATGGTCTGGACAGAATCATGACATCACTGTCCACAGCGATGAGCACATGGGGCTCTCTGAGGGGCTTAGAGAGGGGTTGCCTGCAAATCAAGGCCAGGGACTCTGTGCTCTCGGCCCAATGACCCACAGGAACACTGCCAGTGTCCCCATTGTCCCTATAGTTTCCTAGCCACTGCCCCCTACTCTGACTCCTCCACCATGGAGCAGAACAACTTCCTCCTCACAAAAAGCCCTAGGTTGTTCATACATAAGGGGTTTCAAGCTGATGAAAATGATCTGGGATTAGATAGTGGAGATTGTTCTACAATTTGGTGAATACACCAAGAACCACTGGATTATATACTTTGAAAGGGTAAAGGTTCTGACACATGAATTATATTTTCATTTTTAAAGAAGAAATGGGATGCTAAGACTTTATACAAAAACATTAAAATATATTAGCATAGAAGCTCCTAAAATAGCACAGGGCATTTTCCTTGTGTGCTCACTCTCCTTGAGCATGTTCTGCTGGGCCACAGCAGCTGCTGGTTGTTCTGGGATGGAGGAGATGTCACAGTTTATCCATCATAGCCCCTGTTCTATATCAGACTAAGGTGACCTTGGTATCTCCTTATATTTGTTTCGATGGCTATAAATGGTTAATAAGCCTGAACTACTTGATGGGAATCCCCTAGGAAACAAACATCTGAATTAAAGGACTTGGAAGGTATGAGGCACTAGGTTCTCCCGAGTCACCACAGGAAGTGCTGAGGGCACCCACATACGTGGAATAAACCCTAGGCTGGGTGGGAACCAGTGTGCATTACCCTGCGTGAATCTGTGCCTTTAGGTGCTCTGTGAGGAGCTGAACTGCTTATGAGTTTTATATCTGTAGTGAGATGGAGAGAGTTCAGTTTTCACTGCCATCGTAGAACAGGAGTTTGAGAAGGTGTAGTTCTCAGGAGTCACCTGGGGCTGTGACATGAAGACAGGGAGAGTGGCTGGAAGGACAAGTGTCCAAGTGCCCTGGCAGGCTTGTGGTTGTTGGGCCTGCATCAAGAGGTGTGTGGACACCACTGCTTCAAATGCACATGCTCCCAGATGTACCCGGGGGTTTCTCCACTCCTGAGAGACTGGAAGATGAGGAAAGATGAGCTCAGGAAAGGTGTGTGTCACTATCTCATTTAACAAAAGGAACTCTGCCTTCAGGAAGCCAGGATGAGGAGCAAGGCATTCTCCCTTCACACCTCCACCCACTGCAGCTTCCTAAATGCGTGCGCTCACCCTGTCCTAGGTCACGGGCTGTGTACTAACCCAGTGGGATGACCGAGTCCTCTAGGCAGGGGGAAGAGGCACTAAGTGTGAAGTGGGCACTGATCACTCCGTATTTGCACCCATTTGTCACCCTCTGATCTACTTGTCTCCCTGCTGCGTGTGCCTAGGATGAGGCAGGCAATCCTGTCAGTGTCCTTTGGGAACAGCCTGATGAGCTGTGGCTCATGCAAAGCTTTCTCCATGATCTACCTGGAGAGGACCTACTGATATACTCCTCCCCGTCCTCACTCTATTGGTGCAGAGCAATCTTTTCCTTCCTCTGCATTTTGAAAGGAATTACCCATGTCCTTCCTCCAGACCAACATCAGCATCCTCTTGGCTTGAGGCAACTACTTCCTTCCCTTCTTCCACCCTCTATCCAGGCAACATGCTCTCCCTCTATGTTCTCACAAAACCTAGACACATATTGTATGACACCTGCCACATTCCGACAGGTAGGCTGCTTTGCAGACCCTACAGAAGGGCTCATTTTCATTTTGTACCTGAGTGTCTAGCACAGTGCCTGGGGTGGAATGCATGCCCAGTGTATGTCTATTCAATAAATGAATGGCTAGATAAATAAATAACATTATTTGTGTACTTCCACATAGAGTGGAAGATAGTTATAAACTCCATAAATATTTAAAATTGCTTTCCTCTTTATGGTTGTGATACTTGATGAGAATACATTCTAACTGTGTCTATTAAATCTTTTTTATGTCTATGGGATTTTTTTTTTTTTGGTCAAAGGTGATAAATTTTGAAGGAAGCTATGCCTTTTACAAACTCAAATTTTGTAAAGCAGTGGTTTGCTAATGTGTGTTCAGCAAAATGCCAGTCCCCTACTGTGGTAAATTTGTTAAAGAAAAGCTACTCTAAGGTCTGAATGAAGTTGAGGGAAGTCTGGTGTAGTCTACTGTGGGATGTCTCAAGGCTGTGATATGACAGTGCTGAGAGGTGCAAGAGGGCATGATCTATACACAGGGTATTTCTGCAGTACCATTTTAGCTCTTCACACAGTGCAGAGGGCATAGTAGGTCTTTGGTATTTTGTTCCTGATGATGGTTCAGTGCCTTGATTTAGATTCTTGTGAAGCAAATGAGTGTTACAAATCTGTGACAAGGGCTCAATTTCACCACCATCTTCATGCACACCACCTGTGCTTCACAATACTATAAAGGAAATTTTAAGAGAATTAAAACATTTCTTGTCATAACAGACCTCTCTGGTGGATGGTGTAGCAAATGCCTGTGGTTTAGAAATAGCCTGCCAGCCCTGGTAGCTCTGCAGTGACCTCCCAGGACAGTTCCGTAACTGCCATTTCTCTGTGCCATAATTACCAGCTCTCTCCTTGGTAGATGCTCTGTTGTGTCTCGGAGTAATTGCTGGGGAACTCTCATTTCCAAATTTCCAAAAAGCAAACAGCCTTGTATTTAATTCAGGGGGTTATCAGGTTTTCAGACTGTGCCATGGAAGGATGCTATCGATCATAGAACTAGGGGAAGAAGTTGAATTTTCACCTCTATATTTTTCTCAATGAGTGAGAGCCTGACTCACTAGGTTGGTGGTGTAAAGATGCAGGAATTTGGGGGGCAGTTCACATCCTCTCAGGATTTCTTTCCCTTCTTGAAGTATGGAGCAGAAGTATGGAGTCTGCTAATAGTTCAAATCTTTCACTGCCTTCTGATAGATCTGGTTACTCGTACCAGTGGCTAGAAGACAGATGGAAGCCCCATCCATCCAAGCTCTCACTTGTGCCTCTGGTGTTTATCCTCCAGAGATCTCAGGGAACACTGAAGACATCCCTCTGGTGCGTTGGAGGCAGCAGTGGCTGGAAAACGGAACTTTACTTTTTCACATCCATCACCAAGATGGTGCCCCAAGTCTCCCTGGACAAGACCCAACCGAGGAGCCCCAGCATGAGTCGGCAGAAGAGGAGCTGAGAATCCTCCACATCTCAGTCATGGTAAGCACAGCATCGCTGTAGCCTTCGGGCCATAAGTAGCTTGCAGTACTTTGACACTATGAGTCTTGGTATATGATTTGGATTTTCATTTTTATAACAAAATGCCAGGGGTGGAGTACTATGAAAAAGAAGCTTTATTATGCCCTATTTTGGAGAATTAAGGGCGCGGCACCTGTGTCAGCCCAGTTCTGGTGAGGACCCTCCTCACTGTATTACATCTTGGCAGATAACAATGACAAAAGTGCCTGTGAGAGAAATAAATCCCGTCACCAGACAGGAAAGTGGAGAGACTAGGCTCTCCAGTCCCTTCCTAGATCAAACTCCTAAGTGTCCCAGGCCCCATTTCTTAAGAGTTCTGCACCACCACCTGATACTGACACCAAGCTTCCAATGCATGAACCCTGGGAGACGAACAATATCCAAACCATAGCAGCAATTCTGTAAGACTTGATGCTGTACACTCACTGGTGGTAATAAAAGCAAACTTCCCCTTTCTGATACGTATGTCCGCTTGTGCTATAAGTTGGTGCTCTCCTCCAACTCTTGTCTCTAGGGACACTCCCAGTTATGAAGTAGCTTTTAACAACCAGAGCTAACAAGAGATGGGGCAATGGATTGTATTAGAAAAAATCATTCAATTAACACTGAATAATTTACAAAATATCTTAGCTTCACTTTCCGAAAGAGGGCTGGCTGCTATCAAACCTTCTTTCCTTTTCTTCCTGTCAGGAGAAATAAGCTACTGACATTCTTTCCTCATACAATAAAGATTTTGGTCCATAGATAATTTTTTTCCTCCCTCTAACCCAGGTTAGAAGCTTTACCATCTGCATCCTTTCTGTGGAGAAATATGATGATTTAAGAAAATCAGCAAATTCACTCCACAGTTCTAGGAAATTATGTATCAGAGCCTCACTAGAAAGTAAATGTCGCAGTGGCAGGTGGGAGGCTTTGTTCAATTTACTGATCAATCCCCAGAACTTAGAAGAATTGATTGATACATGTAGCTAGTGCTTAAGCAATAATTAAAGAATAAATGAGTAAGTTTCCCAGTGAAGAGAGAAGATAGGTTTCATTTGGTATTTTATGTATTTACATTGGTTTTTGCTTTGTTTTTTGTGTGGTTTTTGGTACTAGGGATGGAACTCAGGACCTTGCACTTCCAGGCAGACACTCATGCTGCTGAGCTATATCCCGGGCCCTTGTATTTATACTGTATTGTTTAATGAAACATATTACCCACTCACAGAGCTGCCTGAAAGCAAGTTGAGACTTGAATGATTATCCATCCTCTTCCATACAAATGGGAGGGCATGGGCTGTTTTGCTGTTAAGAAACTTGACACAGAAAAAGCCCATGACCAGTATAACTTAAATTCATCTCTTGTTTTTGTAGTATCACTGCTTGTTAATTCTATGTATCAGACTGAAGAGAAGCAAAAGGACAATGAAGGGGCTGGGGATATAGCTCAGCAGCATAAGCACCTGCCTAGCAAGTGCAAGGTCCTGAGTTTGATAGGTAGTCCTGCAAAAAAAAAAAAAAAAAAAAAAAAGGGAAAGAAAGAAATTTGACAGCGAGATAGCTCAGGGGTCTGCTTAGGCAAGCTTAGGTAGGCACGAGGGACCATGGTTCGATCCCTGGCAGCACATGCTGTGCCAGCCCCGCCTTCAGGAAGGGCTGTGACAGCCAAAAAAGAAAAAAGAAAAAAAAAGAAAACATTTAAATGTATAAAAATTCATAATCAAAAAACGTAATATGGGGGCCAGGGAGATAGCTCAGTTGAAGCCCTTTCCTGGCAAGTGCAAGGTCCTGAATTCAATTCCCAGTACTGAAAAAAAAAATGTAATATGGGAAATTTCACAAGAACAACCTCTGTTAAAATCTCAGAATGGCAGCGTCCCAGCCTTTTCTTAACTGACTTTGTGGTTTACTTCTTTGCACTTTGTTTACATTGTCTGATGCCAAAAGTGGTTCTTAAAGAGCAAAGAGTAAGCCTCAATGTTTAAGGAAGGAAGATGGGTAAAGGAAATCACTAAACATTAATTTATAAATTATTAGAGGCTAATAAGTGGATGCCAGAGTATTTATAAATCTTTAATCAAAGGATAATGCTCCCTCTCTGAGGGAAGGTGATCTTCACTGTGCTTTCCAGTCTCTTTTTGGGAGCAAGGGGAGCATCCTGGGAATGAAACTCAGGACCTCACACTTGCCTGGCAGGTACTGTACCAGTGAGTGAAATCCCAGGCCACTATGCCTCACAGTTAGCAAGAACAACCCAGAGACTACATTGTCTTCATACTTATAATATGATCTGATTGAAAAGAAAGGTAAGTTGGTAGATTTTCTACCAGCCATCCCCCTTTCTCCATCAATGTGGGAGACATTTATAGTCATAAGTATGTGCTTTGGATTGATTGGTAGGCTGGTTGATTTTGTGCAAGACCATTTCAAAGAACCAGCCTGTCACACCACCACCAACAACAACAATGGAAACCCATTTAATATGAATAAATGTATACAGAGGGTCCCAAGAATGAATACTAGGTGTGATTGTGTTTATGTTTGAAAGAAAGAGTATGAAATGTGGCTCGTAGGATAGGGACTTTGTCCAATGATGTTTGGGGTAAGGGGTTCATAGTGTAAAGATCTGTAGGATAATAATCTGAAATTCACCCTAGTTGCTGGCCATATCCCCATTGCAGCAAAGACCCTACCATCTATCCCCAGAATGAGGTATTCCAATAAGTTCTTCAAAGGGCATACGGGTGTACATGTGTGTGTGTGCCTGCGCATGTGTGTGTGCATGTATAAGTAACAGTGTGGGCATACCTGTTTTTGAGGGTGAATGACTTTAACAGTAGAAATGTCATCAAGGATGACAAAGGATTTTAAAAAATAGGCTGGGTTCTTAAAATACTATGAGAAATAGTATGAGAAACCCAACATTACTAATACTTCTTTATGAGATCCCCCAGGCAGGGATTCATGGATGGTGAATACTAAAATGGAGAGAGAACAAGAGTCAGCCTTAAGCCTATCTTGGAGATATTTCCTTTATTTACTGCCGGTCACCCATGGCAGACCACCAATAGTGTCCTGTTGTCCAAATAAAATAGAAAAGATATTTCCTTTGTCTTTATTTGAGTTTATTCTGTCTAATTTTCAACCAGCCTGGAGGAGGCAAAGGCTAAAATGACATAGTCAAAGGGTGAAGCTTTGTTTATTCTCATATGATCTCTTGGATATGGCCACAGAATTCTCCCAGGGTGGCCTTTGACCTCTGCTCGAGAACAGGGATCTCAGAGTGAGCTGCACATGTGTCTTCCCTTGCATCCTTGTCAAAGGTAGCTTATTTAGTGGCACCAACTGCACCTTGCCTGGCATCCCCCTTGCCTCAGTTTCCATTCCATACCACACTGCCTTTCCCTTTCTTAGAATTCTCATCTAGAAACAGTTTCAAAGCCTGAAGTTGAATATCTGCCCTTGGCTCAGAAATCAAGCCTGAGGGTATCCTGTTTGAAGATGCCAGTCCTAGAGTCTCTGATGGCTTCTTCTTAAGAGATTTGGGGATTGGTAGCCTTTATTTGATTCACTTTATAGCATATTCTTTGGAGGTAAAGCAGGTAGCTATTTGAGACATCCAAAATGTTAGCCTTATAGATGTTGGAAAATAGTAAAATCCTTTAACTAGTACCAGTGTTGGGCAGTGGAACACATGTAAGTTGAATCTTACTACCAAAATCTTCTACATTATGAAATAACAATAGCAGGGCTATTTTTCATTAACTTCAGTGATTAATATTGATGCAGTTTCCAGATTGGAATCAAAATAGCATAATTTGGAAAAGAAAAAAAGTTAAGGTTATTAACGGAACATGAATATGTTCATCCTTTTCTTCTTGCTAAGAAAATCTATATTTAAAAGCTTAATGGGTGGTGCTAAATATTTCCAATATGTGCAGGGAGAATCAATGCTTCTGTGAAAACCTTAAAGTTTACATTTCTCTCTTTGGTTGCATTTACTCTTTGTTGCTCATATGGCCTTAATTCAAGGACCACTGTTCATTTTCATATTTTATGTTTATGATGTTTTTGTAATATGCACAACATAAGCAATGATGGAACTTTTTTTTGTATCCTTATGACATTGTATGAATGAGAATTCGCAAATCTTCTCTTACACTGGACCCAGTTGGAGTCTGTCATCGGCAAAATCGTGAGCTTCCAGAGAGCCAATATCCCAGCTGGGAGGTTGGCAATTTAAAACTTTGCAAAAGCTGTTGCTTTTTAAACCATTTTTCAATCACACCCTAAAATTTCTGAATTATTTTTCCAAAGAGGTACCATTTCTTCCTTGCATAGAGTAATTGGATTTCTCTTCTGAAATCTTAACTTTATTGCTGTAAGGGTCAAATGATGTATTTTAACCTCCTGCATGATTCAAACTTGGCTTGAGAGATTTATTTCAAATTTGCCAAGATAATTGACATTTAGGACCATGAAAGTACACAGAGATACTCTTTTTAAAACTCTTGAATGAGTGAAGGTTAAATTGGTGAGTTAGAACTGAGTGTGAGCTTAAACCAAAAGTTAAGAATTTCTCCAATGGTAACACAAAATTGTCTACTCCATGAAAGATTAGATTTTAATACTTTTACAACTAGTATTCATGCAGGACAGGTTAACTATCCATATTGTGCTTTGCTAATTTACTATATATGTATATATTTTCTTCTACAGTAGGCAAAATAATTTAATGGTGCATAAAAGAATGCATTGTTTAGATACTTTATTTTTGTAGTTAAAAGTAACAGTGTATTTCCTGTATGGGAATAGGTTGGTTAAATTTTTTTAGCAAGTAGACCTTCAAAAATGCTTCAGTTTTCTATGTCTGTCTACCATCTATCTGTCTGTCTGTCTGTCTGTCTGTCTGTCTGTCTGTCTGTCCATCTGTCTTTTTTGTTATGGCAGTATCTTCCACTGGTAGAGAATGCCTTTGT